AACCTCCCAATTTTTTTGGCCAGCACGTTATTTAATTGTACCGCCCCCTGCCACTGTTGTAACTGATATTTGTTGGAGTCGTAACAAAGTCAAGTAGCCACAGTAAAATCTGAGAACATACACGACCACAAGTCAAGACGCAGTGAACCTTATTGGTCATGAAATGCAGCCTGGATCTGCACTACAAGACGTTCAGGCAGCAGAGGTCACAGCAGAGAGTCAGCTGTCAATCATCTCCACTGTCCTCGTCTTTTATCACCCTCTTAAAAAAGACAAAAACATTCTAAAAATCGAATATTCTGGTTTCTTATTGCTGCCGATATCTGACCTGATGTGTATTCGTTCACAGTCAGAACAGGTGGAGAAAGGAATGTAAGATTTGGACCAATGCTGCGTTCAAATATAAGGGTAAACATGACAAAGTACCAGGATGTGAAACTATTTCATTTTGGGATTTTTTTTTCCTCTCAGAAATGCTTGCACTGTGTTGCGGCGCTGCGTGTATTGAGTGATATAACTGCTCAATAGAGCAAACATCAACTGTTAGCCAATATCATGGCAGGAAGTCGATACGTTAAATCATGCAGTCATGGTCCAGGTGAGCGGCCGAAAATCAAACCCAGCATCAGAATGTGGAGCTGTGGTGACTCTGACGTGACGGGGTTGTTGGTGACCAGTTCACCAACTTAGGCCTACTGGGATTATTGAAGAAGAAGGGGTTTAAAAAGTGACCATAGGTGTGAATGTTAGTGTGAATGTTAGTGTGAATGGTTGTAATGTTGAGGTACAGGGGCTGTGATTGGTTGTAGTCACCCAGAGACTCTAACACTTGTCACCAAGTCACTCCTGGTGTTAGGAATGTTGTCAATGCCAATGCAGATGCAGCTGTTCTTCATGCACCACATGTCAAATGTCCCAACGTGTTGAGATGTTGAGACCAGAGGTGATTATAGTCCCTGGAAGTTCTTAGCTCTGAGCTGGAACTCATGCTTGAACTATTCTTCACTCCATATTCCAGGACCAGACAGTGATAGGATGTCCAAACTATTTTGGTCAGATATGTCACTTAAGACTACATGCATCAGGTGTCCTTCAAAAGACACTGATTTTTAACACAAATTTGTACAAAAAAAACCTCAATTTCCCCCCAATGCATCATAGTAAAAAAAAAAGCTTAAAATCAATAAACATTAAATTGAAACTTAACTAAAAAATAACCCAAAACTGGATCAAACGTTGATCATTGATCTGACTGATATACTAAACCTAAAATTCATCCTAATATAATCAAAACATAACATGGAAAACTACCCCCCCCCCCCCAAAAAAAAAATAAAAATCATCAAATCAAAGTTTAGGTCAGAAGGAGCAGAAAAGTCAGATGTTGATTCACGTTGTTGTCAACAGCTCTGCAGAGTCTCCACAGCTACAGTGAAACACACTGGACCTCAGTGGACCTGATTTTCGGGGCATTTTCCTCTTCTGCAGGACACAGTGCGCCTGGTCAGCAGATTTAGTCCCAGCTGCTCCTGCAGGAGCCTGACCGTACGAGGAGGTCAGCGGCTCCCCCGTGGAGTCGTCTGCTCCAGTCCAGACGGGCAGCTCACATTGTACTTACCACTGTTCTGCTGTCAGGCACAGACCTTTACAGGCACACACTCAGCAGAACATAGTCATGGTCTTTTGTGTTTACAGCATTAGGGTCTGAGGGACGGAGGGTGGAGAGGGTGAGGGTGAGGGGGGGCAGAAGAGGGATGGCGACAGAAGAAGGTGCAGCGATCACCAGAGCAGCAGCTGCAGGGAAATAGAATCAGATTATCATCTTCAATCTGCCGTTTTATTACAGCTAATTGGTTTAGAGAGATGCTGGAACGGACCGGGCGCAGAACCTGAGCAGGTGTCAGGAAACACAGCAGAGAGAGAGAGTTCTCTTCTCATGCCCACGTCACCTGTGGTCCTCTCAGGACAAGGATGAAGACGTTCAGAGACAGTGAAGCCAAAAGACGGCAGGATGTTTTCTTTGTCCATTTCTTTCTCCACTTGCACCAAATAAAGGCCGAGGAAACAGGCTGTAAATCTTCCTGCCTGTTTCCCAGGAACTGAACTCTGTGTTTTACACCTGCAGACTGAGCTCAGCTCACATCGATTATAAACATTAAGTAGTTTCCACCAAAAGAATTTAGAAGATAATGAGATGATGCACATGAGGAAAAAAAAGGTCAAGTGGGTTTTACTTTTCCTTTAATGCTCTCTAATCTCATAATTCCTGTTATTACAGTCTGAATCCTGACTCCAATCTCTCTCCAAGAATATTATCTTAATTCTTACATTCATCCTTAGAAAAGTCAGGACTCTTATAAATGTCAACTTAGTATAAAAGTTTATTTCTTTTCTGCTTCTAGTAAAAAAAATAAAGTAAAAATCCAGAGATTAAGCCTGCCTGTGGATTATTCCCTAAACATCTTTCCCTGTGACGGTTTAATGAGTCTAAAAATTCCCGGCTGCTTTACAGACTCCACATTGTAACAACAGTAATGAAATTAAAACAACTCATTTGACTTTGTTCATCGGATACACAGCCAAAAAAAAAAAAAAAACCCAGTTATTTTATCCTTTTTCTGCTCTTAACAAATGTTCAGTGTGCAGTGACTCACGGCTGCTGCTGTTTCACACACACACACACACACACACACACACATGTCTTATTCATGAAACGTCTGCGGGAATTAAAGACCACACTCAGATTTGGACAGACTTATTTGTGATGTCTTCACTTGGTCTGTGGCACTAACATTATCACAAACATCTTCAGACAACACTGGCAGATGCAGCCTGTCCCTGGGCTGATGCTGATGCTTATGATGCTGCTGCTGATGCTGATGCTGCTGCTGCTGATGCTGCTGATGCTGCTGATGCTGCTGATGCTGCTGCTGATGCTGCTGATGCTGCTGATGCTGCTGCTGCTGCTGATGCTGCTGCTGTTGCTGCTGCTGCTGATGCTGCTGATGCTGCTGATGCTGCTGCTGCTGCTGCTGCTGAAAGCACTGACTCAGATATTTGTTCGTTTGTTTTTTTCCCACTTATGGCCCATATTTCCGTTCGTTCAGTCATATCTGGGAGTATTTATGACACTGCAGCATTGTTTTGCATTTGAGGAAGAAAATCAAGTCTGCTGTTTGTGTGTGCATGTGCGTGCGCACACGTGTGAGAAAGAGAAACACGTACCCACACCCATCTAGAACTCTACAAGTGCATTCACCGTGTGGGAACTTAGCTGCTTTAGATACATAGGTTTTAAACAATAGCAATATTATTAATTATTATATTAGAGAATTTGTATATAATTGACTTTATTTGCTTTAAAAAATGTCCTCCAGTTATCAGTTTGCCTGACTCTAGTTTAGGGTTTGAGGGGATTGTAGATAAAACTCTGTTCCTAACATTGGCCCAGTGCCAGGATTTTAAGGCAAAAAAGGCAATTTAAACAGCGACAAAGCAGCTTAAACTATAGGGGGAAAAGATTATATGAAACTATCTCTTCTACACTTGGCAAATCATTTCCA